AAAGAAAACTGCTGAAAAATAATAAAAAAAAAAAAAGGGGGGGGGGGCAATCAATTACAGAGCATCCAACAGGCTGAGATTAGTTTTGTTGTTTTTAAATTGTACCTTACCAAGTGTAAATATTATCATTTGCATCCCTCATTGCTAATGTGCCCAGTATAATACAATATAAAACCAGCATGAACTACTAATGCGTCTATTACTATCCTATATGCACACTGGTCCATTGACTGCACTTGCACCGAGTCCCTTTAGAGATCATCTACTGTGAAAGGCAACGCATGGTAGACTGCTGTGCTTAACCTGAATGTCTCCAAATGCTGCACGTTCTATTCAGGTGCATTCTACTTAGAGTTTCAGGGACACGCCAGTGATGTAGCAGCCGGCAGGTGGAACTACAAGCATCTGACACACCCAGAAGTGTTGGATGCTGAAGATTCTACTGGTGCTTCTAGCTCTACAAGAAAGCAAAGAGTACAGTAAACAGGGGCGGAACTATAATGTCATTGTACTTTAGAAAACACTACCTTTCTTTTCTTTTAATGACAAAGTCACTTTAAAAGCTGTATTGAATCAGCAATCGGACTAAGGTCAAACTGATCCATAAGAGAACTTAACACACCTCAGTGCAAGTATCCAGGAACCCTTAAAAACCTCCCTGAAAAGAGGTATCTTAATACTTACCTATCTGGCAGGCTGCAACTCCCGGATCTGTTGTCATCAAGAGCTTTGATTGCTGAAGAATCCTCAACAACTGACACTTCCAGGCGTGTCAAATCCCTGGTCCCCAGATGCACTCTGTCTCCTTCTGTCAGCCATTATGTCACTTTTGCGTCCTAAAACATATGCAACCTACACATTCAGAACTGTCAGATGTGGAAGAATCTACTGCAGAGTGTAGCTCTTTAAAGTTGCACTAAACTCAGGAGTTACATTTTAAAAATACATTCAAGTATCTTAACTATTAATAAAAATGTAGCTTATTTGTGTATCACTTGGCTGTAGGTCCTCAAATCATCTCTGAATTGGTGCTGACACTGTCCTTCCTTCTGGAGGGTGGCTACTTTTGTTCGCCCATGGTCCTGCATGTGTTGTAAAGTAGCCACCACTCCAAATGAGTAAACTAAACATGATATTGTTGTCCTCTCGTGATGGACTGCAATCTCATGTTTAGTTTATTAATCTGTACTGAGATTGTAGTCCATCACAGGCATCAAGCTTGGAGCGGTGGCTACTTTAAAACACACAGAGTCCATGGGGAACAAAAGTAGCCACCCTCCAGAAGGAAGGACAGCGTCAGTATGAATTCAGAGATCATTTGAAGATCTACAGCCGAGTGATACACAAACAAGGTCCTGTTAATAGTTAGGGTACTGAAATGCATTTTTAGGACTTAACGCCTGAGTTTTGTGTAACTTTAAGACAGCGATATTAGGTTTTTTTCTAATACTTACCTTGGTGGGCAGTGAATCATATCACCACCTTAAAAACAGGCAGGTAAAGTAACAGAAAAATACAGTATTTAAATGGTTAATTACAGTGTTTTCCTTTCCATAAATTAATTACCAAAAACGTAACTTCTCCAGAGAGTCAGTTCCCTAGCGCAGCCCCCTGCTCCTTGTACGTCTTAGCCTTCTCTTCTTCTGAGAGTGTCTATTTACTCACTGTGCTGGCCCAGCTCCCCTGCCCCTCTCTCTACATAACCTTTTATGTAGCAGCCCATGGAGAAGTGAAGGGGAATACTATTAGAGTATAACTATGGGTAACCTTTTTCCCCTATATTTCTCTTTAGGGTCACTGGAAGACATATACTAACGTCCTCCCCTGACACAAAACTCAGTATATAGCAGGCAATTCGCTATACGCGGAGAGCGCCGCAGCCAGAACCGATCCCAACAATAGTGTCGAGATCCACCCCGCTAGCTGATTAGATAGGCAGAGCCAGCTGTGCCCTCCCCTTCCCTGTCTGTCCCTGCAGTCAGCGCTGGAGGATCGTGGAGGGCGGGGGGAATCCCTGCGGGGAGAGGTGACTGACAGTCACCGCTCTCTGCAGGGAGACGATGGCGAAGTGAGCGCAAGGCGGTATGTTTTCGCTCACTTGCCGATCTATACAGCCGACATGTGACAGTTTCAATGTCACACGTCGGCTCTAACTGTGGGGGATGAGTGGAAAGCACTAACCCCTTATTTCTCCTTTAAGTAGCAGCTCTGAGTCTGCTGGGACTCATATCCAAGATGGCAGCAGGCCTCAGGGCTTTTGGATGTATAAAGGGCCTCAGGGCTTTTGGATGAACTCATACTGCTGTAAGGACTTACTTTATGTGATGCCTCTTGTTTCGAACAGCTTCTTTCTTCCACTTGTTTTCCACAGCTCCTCCAGCGTTGGTGCCGGTCTCTGATCCAGCACAGACACCTCGTGTCCCACGGAGTCTGCCAGTCATGTGCGCTTCCGGCTGCGTACATTCAGTGTTGCTCTCTTCCTCTCCCCTCTGTCTCTGGACTGCGCATGCGCCTGCCCACACTTCCTCCTTCACAGCGTTCGGGAGCCGGGACTTAGGCAGCGGCACTGACACACGCAGGTTTGTTGGTATTTGGCAACTTTTGTTTCTTTTTTTTTTTAAATGTTGGGGCAAAAATCTACTGCTTACTAGCTTTAGATATAGGCCAAAAACAGACTTTAATTTTACTTTAACTGATGGAGTACACAGTGCAGATGCGATGAGTACATATTTCCAACTTTATTGGAATGTCACAAAATGTCATTTTGTCAATGTTTACTCACCACAGCGGCGTTGTGAAGTGCTGTTGTTCACTGCAGTGAAAAAAATAAGTAGTGAATGCCCTACTTTTTCCAGAGCACACGGTCACAGTGGTGCAAACTGAACAAACAGGACACAAGGCAATTAGCCTTTCCATGTTTTGGAATCGCACTGGGCGAGGCTGCCCAGCGCACCACAACACACTTGATGTGAATGGACCCTTACAGGTAAATAACAAGAATACATCAAATGCACATGTAGTCTCATGGGAAGGTTTCCGTCCAAACCACTGACCTGATAACAGAGACTCTTTTGCAGGGATTTTTTTTTAGAATCCTTTTGACTGAATTGCTTTGTCAGCTTTTTAGATCTCATCATCAGATTCTTTCTCAACTGAGAATAAATACACAAACAGCACCCCACATAGTGAATTGCATCTATACAATCTTCCTGTATTTTGTAAATGCTGCACAAACTGCTGGCACTTTATAAATCCTGTTTAATAATATTGTGTTAATGAAAGGCTGGGGAAAGCAGAAAAGCCTATACACCTATCCTCCATGGACACCTCTGTGTCTATAGATCCCTCCTCACAATAAACATTGGCATCCTCCTTCAGGGTAATGGATGCTACAAGGGTCTTTAGGATACCATGATATAATGAAGCACAGTAACACGGCGGTGGATGGCTGCACTGCCTTGCCTGTCATATGAAATGTATACAAAGTGGAGCTGGTGCCTGGGGCCTTGTAGCACAACCTCTCCCCAGCCTCCAGGGCCCAGTGGCGAACTCAGCCTTCCATGGCCTCTAAGAAGCAGAAGGAAAGCTCTGACACTGGTCTCCTATGCCGAGCCCCGGCGGTGTATTGGAGGTCTGCTAGGCGCCATGTAAATAACAACACACGCAGCTCAATGTCAGCAGCAGCAGTTCCCATCCCTGTCCCCCTCCTCCCACAGTTCAGCCCCGGCTGCCATCTATTACCGGACACACGGGGTACACGGTCACGGGCGCCGGCCAGTCACAGTCATATCAGGTGATCGGCTTCCTGTCCCGGGTCTCCCTCCTCCGCCAGCTTCCTGGGCTGCCCCGATGGCTCCGGTCTGGCCCGATCACATGACCTCTGTGACGTCATCGCACGGACGGGAAGCTGCTGGGACAAACCTACTGCATTTCCGTAGCTTGCTTTTGCTTGTAATGCTGCTACGTGTATGAAGTGTGAATTACGCCCTGGGTCTTGGGGGCGGCCATTGCTGATCTCGTGGATGTTATGCCGAACCTATGTTTTTTTGCACTTTGAATGACTGTATACTTCCCATTTTTTTAAGATGAGAAAGAGGAAAACTGTTTCTTACTGAATACATCAATAAAGGACTCAGCCCACCATGCCTGCTAGTTATAAGGGACCATGAGGATTTCAAGTATAAATCAAGGCAAAAGTTGTTTTAGTTTTGGATGGCGAGGGATTAAAACCACTGTTAGGTTTTTATTGCTGTTTGTGCCCCATTAGGGAGATTCGATCTAATTGCCCTGGTCACCATTGTCCCTGGGAATTAAATTGAGGGTAAACCCACAATTTTGATTTGCCACCAGAACAAGAATAGAGGGGGAAATCTTCAAACGGGACATTTTATCCGGTGACAACTGTCTAAGAGGTTTTTCTAACTTTGTAGAGATATCCTTTTACTTCCTGTTGAGTCCACACGACAGGAAGTGAAATCTCCCTAAAAGTCATAGGGGAAAAAAACATACAGTGGTTTAAATCTTTCCCTACGCTGTCCAAAATAAATAAAAAGTTTGGGCTTTAGATATGCTTTAAAAAGAAGTATTACACCAATTTAAAATACTTATACTTATCCCCCAGTGGACCCAGTTCTTGGAGCGTTTGGCCTGCTTCTGATCTGTGGGTGCCTTGAGGCCATCATTTTGTATGTGTCTGCTGGCAGTCAGCTCCACACCAGGCTGAAGCCCAATTTTTGCTAATTTCTATGGGGGAGCTACAGCACAGCACTTTAGCCATCAGCCCCTATCTATGTAGAGACCAATGCTCTTTTAATCATATCTGTTCTTGTTATTATTGGATGTGACTAGCTGTCATATGTCAAGGAGTGCAGCCACCAGGCATGTAGTGTAGGCTCAGCACAATAACAAGAAGAATCACTGGCACTCCAACAATGAACACATCTTTTACAGGGTTATTCACAAAAGGGTGAAGGGTTTGGAGAAGGCAGGAGAAGTGAACAATCTAGGACAACATAGCTGAAATGGAAAGTGAGCTGAATTGGAGAATTTTTCCAAATCAGCTATGTTGTCTTAGATTGTTCACTTCTCCTGCCTTCTCCAAACTCTTCACCCTTTTGTGAATAACCACTTGTTTACATTATCACAAAGCAGACACTGTTTGCCTGATGAAGGGCTCCCATGCAGCCTCGAAATGTTGTTTGCTTTGGGATAATGTGATAAATAAAAGAAATATTGCTTCATTGTTGGAGTACTGGTGATTCTTCTCTCCGATCATCACTGCAGCACCCACCATCGTTTCATTTGGGACCCTACGATCAGAAGTGCGAGGGGATATACATAGCAGGCTTGGTGTAGAGTCAGCAGACCCATGGCCGCACTCTCTGCTCGGGGGCCTTTTAATGTCAGTAATAGCTGTCAGCTTGTGTTGTTGGGAATGATGGCGCCAGTCTCCAGCGTGCCTGCTGCCAGAGATGAGCGCTGTCATTTACAGTACAAGCCACCAGCTAGTATATGGCTGGAAAAGATCTACCACTGCCCCTGCTGGCACTGAATGGAGAGTCAGTCTATAGATGCAGCCACTGTTTCTGCACTTAGTACTATAGAAGAAAAACTGGCATCCTGCCTTCCTGGTATCCGGGCACCTCCAGATAGACAACCAGCAACATCCAGCATGAGTCTATGAGTAATATAGTCTATACTCTATTAGATGTGTCAAAGGCCAAACTTTTTTTTTGTAGTCTTGTGTAAAGTAGGGAAGGGTAAAATATACTCTTAGGTTTTTATTGCTGTTCGTGCTAGCTGGGTAGATTGTCACTCTCTATTTGTCCTGGTGGCCATTATCAAAATTATACAGTTGTCACCCAAAGACAATGTAACGATACATCTTTTAACCCTATCTCTGCCAGCGCCGTAACCCTTTAAACCCTGTAAACAGCCTCTGGGACTCTGTTTACCTGTGTAAAGCTGACTGTCGGCTTTATGCTGGAAGTGTTTCTGTTGCCATATTACTTCCATGGACCAGTGAACTAGGGTTGCCACCCTTTCTTCAAGCGAAACCCGAACACTCTAGCAAAGCGCGAACTTTTTTGGGGGAGAATGATTCATGGCCCATTCATATGTAAATATCGCAGTTGAGACTATCCTAATTTTGGTTGCCCTCATCTGCCTGAAATCTTGTGTCTGGATTTCTGCTCCCATGAAACCCGGACACAGCATTCAAAACCCGGACTGTCCAGGTGAATCCTGGACAGGTGGCAACCCTACAGTGAACAGTGTCCCCCCGCTGCCTAGCTGCCCCTTCTGCAGGTCCAGGACTGGCATCATGGACGGAAAGCAGGGAATGGAGCTTGAACCAATGCTGATTGCATCACTTCTGGCTCCACAGCTGTCACTCCCCAGTTAGAGAAGTGTGATCTGCGCTTCAATAGCTCCTTTGAAGTGGAAAAGTGTCCCATTAAAGAGAACCTGTCCCCACTTATATGCTATCACATAGAGGGGTTTGTGAGTAAAGTCCCCCCCCCCCCCAGGAATCCACACATACTAACATAAACACACATTGGTTGCACCTCCATACGAAATCGATGATTGCACTACACATGTTGGGTATCATCGTGTGAGCCGGAGTGAGAGCAATAATTCTGGGGCTAATATTCATGGTTAACGCTAAACAGATGATCTGTACGGGCTTTAAAGCCTCACCTATAGACAATTTGGGGTACTGTATTTTATCGCCATTTCTTGGGCGCATTTGATTTTTAAGCTTGGCATGTTGGGTATCCATTTACTCAGCCCAACCTCATCTTATATTTTACTAAAAATTGAGTATTATATTGTGTTTTTGGGCACTAAAATTAACTTAAGTGGAGTTTTTACTGAAATTTTGGATTCGATAAAGAGTTGTGCTATATTTTAATGTATTGTAAAAATTTGCAACTGCCGCCATTTTATTCTAAAGGGTCTGTGATTTTAGGAAAAATATAATCATTGAGGGTTTTAAAGAATTTTCAGGCCTAAAATGTGGATTATACCGTGTGCAAAAAACACAAAAAAAAGCCTTGGCAGTAAAAGGGTTAATGGGGGGCATCTGTTACATGACAACTGAGAGGACGACCCTCACATAGGAGCAATTGTCACCTTCAAGTCTGAAGCTGACCTCTTTTTCTCCATTCAGAGCGGCTAGTTACAGGTACAGGAGTGGCCAAGGTTGCCTATCTCTGCTCTAGAAGATTCTTTTCATAGATCATATGTTTCTCTTCGCTGACACAAACTACATTTTTACAGATTGTAAAAATACATTGAGGGGAATTTATCAAAACTGGAGCAGGAAAAATCTGGAGCAGCTGTGCATGGCAACCAATCAGCTTATATCTTTTATTTTCAAAGCTTAACCACCTCCCGTTCAGCGGCCGTACATAAACGGCCAGACAAGAGCCTTGTAGATGCCGGTGGCCAGCGCGCACACGAGTGGGAAAACTACCTAGCTCTGTCACCGAAGGTCAGTACACGATCTCCCTCTGATGTCCTCTCCAGTGTCAGAATGCAGGAAGTGATATATATTACATCACTTTCACATTCAGCTGTCATTCCTGGCTACAGAAGCCGCAGAGAAGCTGGTGAAGCAGATCTGTGCTTCATCAGTTTCCCTGGGGGTCCCTGGGTGGCAATAGGGGTCTTGGAGACCCCTGATGTCTCCATAAAGAGGACCTATCACTGTATATTGGCAATCACATAGGGAGCTTCTTAGCATCCTATGTGATAGCAAAAAAGTTAAGCATAAAAACAAACAAACACATATTAATGTTTTTTTAAAAATACAGAAAAAATGTAAAAGTCCCCAGCCCACATACACACGCAAACATGCGTTGGGTGCTCCTACGTGCGAAAATGACGATTGCGCTGCACCTGTTACATATCACCGCACAAGTCGGACCGTGAGCAATAATTTTAGGGCCATCAATCACTGATAACACTAAACCAGTGGTTCTCAACTTGTGTAACCTCAGGACCAACATTTGTCCTCGGTCATTAAGTCACGACCCAAGTCGCACTGCAATTCAACACACGGCAATGAGGGCTGCTGTGCTGTGATGGAGCTCCATCCATATGTGCATTGCTTGTACAGCTCCCATACGTGCCTGTAGAGGTGCCGGGAGCCAGAATGTGATGTTACTCTGGTCCAGGTACCTCTAGGACAAGCGAGGGAGCTATAAGCAATACATGTATGGATGGAGCTCCCTCGCTGCCATACCCCCCAGCTCACCCCACCTCAAGCTTACACTCGGTGCCGGGCAGCATATTTTGAATGGCTGCTCGGTGTGAGAACGGACAGTGCTGCGCTAGGGGGAGGCTGAAGAGCCTCTCACCTATAAAAGTTGAAGGCATGCGGCGACCCACTGAACACCGGGTCGCGACCCACTTTTGAGTCATGACCCACCAGTTGAGAACCAAGGCACTAAACTGATGAGCGGTAAAAGCTTTTAAAGCGTCGCCTATAGACATTTTTGGGTGTGGTAGTGTTTTGCGATTTTGCGGGCGCGCACAATTTTAAGGGTTGACATGTTTGGTGTTTATTTACCCGATGTGACCCCGTCTTTTATATTTTACCAAAAAATTGGGGTGATAATAAATATTTCATAATATAACGTAGGGAAACAGGTTTTTTTCTGTACTTTTTGTTGTTGTATAGTACAAAATAGAAACCCCCAGTGGTGATTAAATACCCCCAAAAGAACAATATAAAATTAAGTTCAGTACAGCGTTGCATGATGGAATAAATGTCAGTCAAAGTACCGCTGCGCTGAACACTGAAAAATGGCCTGGACAGGAAGAGGGTGTAACACCCTGGTTTTCAAGGGGTTCCCTGAACAAACTGAAGACAGAAGCTGATTGTTTACCATTAGGGGTGCACCGATAACGATACTAGTATTGGTATCGGTGCCGATACTGAGTACTTGGGTGAGTACTCTTACTCACCCAAATGCTCCAATACCTTCCCCCAATACCAGAACTTCCACTCAGAGGAAGATTTCCTCTGACCGGCAGTGCCATAGAGGGACATGGAGCCAGCTTCCCATGAGATCAGGAGTAATGACCCTCCTACCGGCTTCCTGAATGACTGAGAAGCCGGCTTTTGAAGCCAATCAGCATTGAGCTGGCTTCTTGGCCAATCAGGAAGCTGGGAGGCGGGTCATTACTGATTGGCTTCCTGATTGGCTGGGAAGCCGGCTTGACGCTGATTGGTTGGAAAGCCGGTTTCCCGGCCGAGCACAATCAAGCCAGCCAGACAGCATGGAGCCAAGTTCTCAGTCATTCAGATTGCCCGGGAAGCCAGCTCCATGCCAGGGGAAGCACCGGTATCGGTACTCGCTATCGGCGAGTACCAAAAGCAAAGTATCGGTAGTCGTATTCGATACGGAAAAAACTGTATCGGTACATCCCTAGTTACAATGGGCAACTGCTCCAGATTCTCTCTGCTGCAGTTTTGATAAATTCCCCCCAGTGTGGAAAATGCATCAAATTTGCAGCAAAGCATGCAGATGTTACCATAGCAACCAGGCTACATGATGCAGTTGTGACCTAATTGGTTGCTACTGTTTCTCTTTTAGCTCTGTCACCGAAGGTCAGTACACGATCTCCCTCTGATGTCCTCTCCAGTGTCAGAATGCAGGAAGTGATATATATTACATCACTTTCACATTCAGCTGTCATTCCTGGCTACAGAAGCCGCAGAGAAGCTGGTGAAGCAGATCTGTGCTTCATCAGTTTCCCTGGGGGTCCCTGGGTGGCAATAGGGGTCTTGGAGACCCCTGATGTCTCCATAAAGAGGACCTATCACTGTATATTGGCAATCACATAGGGAGCTTCTTAGCATCCTATGTGATAGCAAAAAAGTTAAGCATAAAAACAAACAAACACATATTAATGTTTTTTTAAAAATACAGAAAAAATGTAAAAGTCCCCAGCCCACATACACACGCAAACATGCGTTGGGTGCTCCTACGTGCGAAAATGACGATTGCGCTGCACCTGTTACATATCACCGCACAAGTCGGACCGTGAGCAATAATTTTAGGGCCATCAATCACTGATAACACTAAACCAGTGGTTCTCAACTTGTGTAACCTCAGGACCAACATTTGTCCTCGGTCATTAAGTCACGACCCAAGTCGCACTGCAATTCAACACACGGCAATGAGGGCTGCTGTGCTGTGATGGAGCTCCATCCATATGTGCATTGCTTGTACAGCTCCCATACGTGCCTGTAGAGGTGCCGGGAGCCAGAATGTGATGTTACTCTGGTCCAGGTACCTCTAGGACAAGCGAGGGAGCTATAAGCAATACATGTATGGATGGAGCTCCCTCGCTGCCATACCCCCCAGCTCACCCCACCTCAAGCTTACACTCGGTGCCGGGCAGCATATTTTGAATGGCTGCTCGGTGTGAGAACGGACAGTGCTGCGCTAGGGGGAGGCTGAAGAGCCTCTCACCTATAAAAGTTGAAGGCATGCGGCGACCCACTGAACACCGGGTCGCGACCCACTTTTGAGTCATGACCCACCAGTTGAGAACCAAGGCACTAAACTGATGAGCGGTAAAAGCTTTTAAAGCGTCGCCTATAGACATTTTTGGGTGTGGTAGTGTTTTGCGATTTTGCGGGCGCGCACAATTTTAAGGGTTGACATGTTTGGTGTTTATTTACCCGATGTGACCCCGTCTTTTATATTTTACCAAAAAATTGGGGTGATAATAAATATTTCATAATATAACGTAGGGAAACAGGTTTTTTTCTGTACTTTTTGTTGTTGTATAGTACAAAATAGAAACCCCCAGTGGTGATTAAATACCCCCAAAAGAACAATATAAAATTAAGTTCAGTACAGCGTTGCATGATGGAATAAATGTCAGTCAAAGTACCGCTGCGCTGAACACTGAAAAATGGCCTGGACAGGAAGAGGGTGTAACACCCTGGTTTTCAAGGGGTTCCCTGAACAAACTGAAGACAGAAGCTGATTGTTTACCATTAGGGGTGCACCGATAACGATACTAGTATTGGTATCGGTGCCGATACTGAGTACTTGGGTGAGTACTCTTACTCACCCAAATGCTCCAATACCTTCCCCCAATACCAGAACTTCCACTCAGAGGAAGATTTCCTCTGACCGGCAGTGCCATAGAGGGACATGGAGCCAGCTTCCCATGAGATCAGGAGTAATGACCCTCCTACCGGCTTCCTGAATGACTGAGAAGCCGGCTTTTGAAGCCAATCAGCATTGAGCTGGCTTCTTGGCCAATCAGGAAGCTGGGAGGCGGGTCATTACTGATTGGCTTCCTGATTGGCTGGGAAGCCGGCTTGACGCTGATTGGTTGGAAAGCCGGTTTCCCGGCCGAGCACAATCAAGCCAGCCAGACAGCATGGAGCCAAGTTCTCAGTCATTCAGATTGCCCGGGAAGCCAGCTCCATGCCAGGGGAAGCACCGGTATCGGTACTCGCTATCGGCGAGTACCAAAAGCAAAGTATCGGTAGTCGTATTCGATACGGAAAAAACTGTATCGGTACATCCCTAGTTACAATGGGCAACTGCTCCAGATTCTCTCTGCTGCAGTTTTGATAAATTCCCCCCAGTGTGGAAAATGCATCAAATTTGCAGCAAAGCATGCAGATGTTACCATAGCAACCAGGCTACATGATGCAGTTGTGACCTAATTGGTTGCTACTGTTTCTCTTTTTTTTTATATTGATAAATCACCAGTTGCAATGTACATTCTTTTAAAAGTTTTAGTGAAAGCAATAAAAAGTGTTTTATTTTGAAGCTTCTTGTTGGTGTGCAGTCCATAGTTCCCTGGTATAGGATTAGAATCGCCTCACTGCTGGATGAGGGAAGAGAACACAGGCGACAGCTGTAACACGATCCATGCTGCTGAGCGGAGCACGTGACCTCTCTCTCCTGTTGCTAGGCAACAGTAAACAATCGCCGGTGTCCGGAGTGGAGTGGAGCGTGTTCGGCCTCTATCTTAGGATAATAATGGGCGCCCTGAAAGACGAACCCCCGGCTCTCATCTACCAAGGAAAATTTGTAGATCGCTCCTCTCATGTCCGTTCTGTGAGTACAGCTCGGGAACTGCCTATTAAACTTCTATTAAGTCAAGTGACTGATATTGGGGGACGATTGCTGCAATGCTTCATTGCATGTTCTAAGATTGGGTCATTCGTATTTCATCCTGATAGCCAGACACTAAATCCTCATAACAATCAAATTAAAGGGAGCTGGTACTGTTCTCAGTGAGCTGATGATTTTGTAGCTATTATTACTGTAGTGTTTATCTTTTCATTATTCACAAGCAACTGTATAATCCCAGGCAAACTTTTTTTAAATCCTTTCTTAACCCTTGCAGTGGGGCTACCCTCACACAGTCGCACTGCAAGGGTTAACTGCTCATTTTTGTCTAGGTGCAAAAATAATAAAGTTATACTCACCCGATCCTCGGAGACAGGCGCTCCCTCCTGCGTGTCTCCTCCACTGCAGTGATGGTATGCAGGGCCGGCCTTAGGGGTGTGCGAGCAGTGCGGCCGCACAGGGCGCCATGGCAACAAGGGCGCCGTGCGGCCGACACAGCTCGTCCTCGGGGCGGCTTCTCTCCCCCTCACCGCTGGGCGCTGGCCATCCGATATGACAG